TTTTTTGTTTTGAAAAATGCCAATTGCGCTGATATAAAACTAAAACTAAATAAGATAAACAAAACCGCTTATAGGGTGTTGTAGATCTCGTTTCACAGATTCCATATATTATATTAATAACTCAATTTCGTTTAAAATGTCGATTACGTTGTTTATGATAAAGACGGCAGATAATTGTAAGGTCCAATGGTGTTAGTAAACTTACAAAAATATCTTAATGACTAAGTAAGATGGATCTCATTATCCATCTAACCTAGTCATTGACAATAGTTATTTGTTATGCAAGGCTGCAAAGTTGTTGTTTGACGCGAGTGCTTATATTGAAACCGGAGCAAGCGAAGGAAGCTTCGCTCGTGGTTGAAAAATAAATTCCTGAGCGTAGGGAGGGTTTCAAGCATAGACATATATCTAGATAGACGCCGCAAGTACAGCAATTTGTATGAAAACCGAGCGTGCCACATTTTATGTATCCACCACGACGTCACAAGAACTATTTAGTGATGGGAAACCTCCTTCCGCGCTAAATCGATTGATTGAACGGAATACACGTAAACACGCGTATTCCATTCATTGATCGATTCTAAATAGAATAATTTATGTTCAAGTATTTGTTGATGACAAGTAGTCATAATATTAATATAGTACAAAAATACTAGAATAAGATAGTTTAGTCATTTATTTTACTTTAAAAAAAATCAGACTCTACTTTTTAATCGACTTCACATATTAAAATTATTGTGCTTCCAGTAAAATGAGCTTATTATATAACATCTTTTTGTAATAGATCTTATCGATTAACTTAAATAATGAAAACGCACCTCGATATATGAACTTGCGACTGTCTTAATTAATTTTACTAGATGGTTTTCTGTTGGTAATTGATCAAATTGACGAATGGCAAGACAAATGAAAATGTTACTACTGACAAAATATGGTAACATCTTATTAATCAGAAGAGGTTTACTTAATGATGGCCTCGTGTGAAATTTTTGTTATTTGTTTATTATTTCTCGGATGTTTAACTCTGCTACTCTGCATTTTGGATAGCATCGTAGGTGGGATAAACTAGACCACCTTCGTCCTCGAAAGCAACGAACTCTTACGTATGGCCAACTCCAGATTTTTGTAAAGACAGCGCACTGTTAATTCTTTGTTTTTTATATATTATATATTTTTTGTATTACTCGTAATAATGAATAAGCAATTATTTCCTCACTATATTCGGATATTCGAGGCAACGTGCTGCAAAAATTATCGAAATTCCAGATACTACTGATAATAGATACTACAAAACTGAAAAAAAAACGAAACGTTACTAAACTTTATAACAAAAGAATTATAGAATATTTTTATAATATTAATAATAATAAGCAAAATAGGCGCCTTGACGTCGAGTTGCGGATACCAGCCCGTTACACCAAGTACCAAGTAATATTGCTAAGGTCATAATAATTGTTGTCCCTTTGTTTTCAAAATCGATCAGAATCGAGAACAGTGTTGTCTAACGTATACATCACTAAATGTTAAATTTGGCCAAAAAAAATTTACAATTGGCCGTACCACAGAAACTGAATGCATTATGCAAAATAGCGTTCGTTCGATATTCATGGCGCATTAACAAAGAATCACAAATATATCGCACCAAGTAAAAGCCGCAATGTATTACAAATTATGACGCATACACTGAGTTGCATATTTCTTTTCCCGAAATTAATACAAAACCAAAATAATTGTTTTTAAAATAAATTATGCATCTTCTAATTACAAAATCACTTGCCCGTGGAAGGAAACATCTCTGTTTACCCGTTTACCCACAGTTATGGTGCTTTTGCAGTTTATAATGGCACAATTTATTATGCAATTTTTCGCGTTTTAGACTGGTGTTTATCTACGATAACGGTCGAGCGCGTTCTGAAGTGTAGCAGCGGCAACTAAGTGAATGTCATTTACTTTGGATACGCGAAGTACGTACACTTGCGGCGTCTATCTAAATATATGTCTGTGGTTTCAAGCCACGAGTTTCAAAACAACTTTGCTGCCGAGCGAAACACACAACTTTCACAGAAAGAAAAAGGCATGTGCGCCAGAGTCTATGGTCAAGTTCGAATTTCAAAAACCTTTTCCACGTTAGAGTGCAAAAAAAGCATTTGAAAACCTTTCCGAGCTAGTGAGGTGAAAAAATGTTTTTTTACACCTGCCATCTTTAGTTGCCTATAGCAATGTTTTGTTGTTAAACATCCTATGTCGAATTTGGCTAGAGTATAGGTAAATACTCACTCTCCGCTACAGTCCCTGCGCAGCGTGAAATAAATGATTGGTGAGAAAAGCATCTATAAACATTGTTAAAAGTTTTCAAGAGGGCTGGTTTTTATCGGCTGATCTGAGATCCGATTTATACTCACTGGTTTGAGGCTGGAGCTCGATGAGGTGTCCCCACATCATGCGCACAGCCTGGCTGAAGTATCCAATCTCCGCATTAGGGTGCAGCCCGAATACTTCTGGAGTGTTTGCTAGCGGCAATGTGTCCACGAAATCTGTGCAGTAAGGATTCTTTTATGTCTTGGTATGCGAAATACGTTTTGTATAAAAATAATAAAATGTATTTTTTTTAAATAAATACAGCGTTAATTGTTTTAGACAATAAATTTACTTTACAGTATAGAAAAACATCGTGAGAATTGATGATAAATATCATTTACAAGCGTCGTGATAATGGGTATGCTGTAAAATTTTGTAAATTACTATTATATAAAAAAAATCCGTTTCATTTTTGAACTCCTTGTTTCTATAATTTTTTTACAGTGCAAGTATTTTTAAATAGATCAAATTAAAGATAGACATTTTTCATTTAATCTTTGGTATAACAAGTAAAAACGTAATAATTATAAAGATTGTAAATGTCACGGTATATTAAATTGCTTTGCTTGTAAACTGACAGAGTGAAATGATGCCTGATAAAAGACCCAATATGTATTTCGGTCTAATGCTAAAAAAGAACGAAGTATGGAAAGTATCGTAAAGGCGCGTTCCCATTATGTCTTAACGGTTTATTTATCGTTGGACGACTGTCGTGTCTAACTGTTCCCACTAGATCCTGGTGACAAATTATCGGTTTACGTCAGCCGCCTTGTCGTTTGCACGACAGAAAAGGTTGAAATTGCGATTATTTGTCGTCACATTTTTATCGTGACGTTTTATTTGTCGTCAGAGGACTGTCGTTCTAACCCTTTCCATTGTCGTAACGTCAAAAAAGATGAACGACAGTTAATCGTGTTTGTACCATATCGATGCCTTACTTTCTCAAACTTGTATCTTATAACTATACTCTAGTCAAATTCGATGTAGAATGTTTAATAACAAAACGTTGCTAGGCCACCAATGATGGCATAGGAAAAGAACATTTTTTTCAATGCTCATTATTAAGAGTTGCTCTGCTCGTAATTGGAATTTAAATAGGTAAGTAGGTAATTGAGTTATGTAGATCTAATACTTACCTATGATACGTATGATTTAGGAATAAATAAGTTTTTGCATTCTATTAATATTACTGCTAGATGGTAGGTAATAGTAGACGAAAAGATACAAAATTATAAGATTTTATTACATATTATATCATCGAGCATCTATTTCCGATTCCGAACTTGAATTACCACCAGAATTCGAATGTTTCCAATCTCTCCCTTCAAATCAAAAAGTGACTAGGGATGACACAGTTTTACAAATAATTACTGGTCATTTTTATGTCATTTTCAGGTGATTCGAAACTTCTGTTAAATAATATTCATTATGAACATGGCTTCAAGATTAGTATTATCCATAATTTAGCTTTGAATTTGGAGGGAAAATATTGAAATTGTGGTAACTGAAAAAGTCTGAGATGAAAACCCTAAAAATCATATGTCTTTGTTTGTTGACATTTATTCCACATCGAATTTGGCTACAGTTTATAGTTCGGGAGACGGGAAAACTTTCTATTTATTTTAAATTTCTTATCGAGGGTGTTAATTTGGATGCATTACTTTAAGAATAGGTAAAAACCAGTGTGTGAATATGAAGGAAATATGTGAAATCAGTCTGAAATATTTGTATGTACAATCCATTTTTTGCATTTCAGTAACTTTGTGTTTTAAGATACGAGTTTGAGGAAGTAAGGCGACGATATGTGAACAACTTCATTTAGATGTACAAGTCACGACACTTTAAATTTCACGGCTATCTGTCTCTGTATAATGGGAACGCGCCCTAACAGTGAAATAGACAGAAATAGAGCCTGACACAAATCGCCACTGACGTACCAATGTATTCGTCCCTTTCCTCGAAGTCAGGAGGCATCACATAGTCGAAAGTCGAATCTCTGTAAAAATGGAATGGCTGGAACTTGTCGAACAGGAATTCCCCGAGATATTCGTCCATGTAGGTCCTGACCACGCGCCGATCAAAATCATCGATCACACGCCCGCCGTACATTACCTGATGTGATTAAAAATATGCGTGAGTCTGGTGGTAAGCGACAGTACACTTGTCCACAGCAGTTGCAGTGCCATTTAAATCGCAAAGATCTGAGGGGCACTGCCACTGCGCCTGTCGTTGACGTTGACTGCCTCCATGGTCAAACGATTACCATACTGGGCTGCCGTGCAGAGGTCCCGGGTTGGATGGAATCAGAATAATTTTAATGGCTTACATTTATTTCTCTCGTGAGTTCGGGTGTAATTTGTGACTGTCTAAATATGTGTGTGTCCAAGTGTCCACTCGCGATACAGGGTCATCCTAGTGCAGAGCTATGAGTGTATTTATTTATTTATTTATGTGCCTGTAATTTCACTACTTCACATAAGTAACATTCACCGTCAATCTAAATTCAACTGCCTCCGCGGCCGAACGGTTGTCATGCCGGACTGTCACGCAGAGGTCTCGGGTTCGATTCCCGGGCCGGGAGAAATGTTTGTATGGCCTACATTTATTTATCTCGTAAGTTTGGGCGTAATTTGTGGTTGTCTATGTGTGTGTCCATGGCAACCGCGACACGGGGTTTTCCTAGTGCGGGGATATGTTGAGTGTGTGCGTTATAAAAAAAAATAGGACAGTCCCTTTTTTTTACACCTATTAGCTTACAATCGGATTACACTGATATTTAGTGTTTTCCCCATTGACTTACAAATAAATGGACGACGGGTCTAATACAAAAACCACGAAAAAAATGTCCCAAGTCAACCTATTCGAAATTTAAATTGTAATGTCATCGCAGTATCGCGCTGTCCGTAGAACAAATGAAGACTAAAGCGGAGTGTCGCGCTCTGTATACTATTTTAGCGCCTTACAAGTGCGGACACTTTTTAGCGCGGACCCGACGTCCATATAATTGTAAGTCAATGGTTTTCCCGATTAATATTTAACATCCCGCCAATCCGCAAAAGATTTATCAAAAGCAAACCATACCTACACATCTACAATACAAACATAACACACAGGGACAGTCCCGCTTTTAAGCTTCGTGTCCCGCTATCCCCAAAATTCTTAAAAGTGTCCCGCTTTCACAAAATAAAACACACAAATGGGCAAAAGCGAAAAATATATAAAGCCAGCCAACCAGACATCGAACACCAGACTACACAAAATTAGTTGTTTTTAAATTTTTTTTATTCATTAAGCTAAAATAGTGCTTATTTTTTTAATCATTAAACTTATCGTAACTATCATAAACATGTGTTTTATTTTTAAAACAATAATATATTTACTTAATATAGGTATATATATGAAGTTTGTCGATTATTAAGTTACTAAACTTGTTATGGTGCAGCTGTTGTTCAGAATGTTCAATTGCTTCTCACAACATTGGTGACGGTTTTTTAATATGATGTATATTGTTAATGTGACTATTATTTTATTACATTATTTTTTTTCCCTCAGAGCGAGACGACTGTAAATTTATTATTGTTTAAGATAAGAGTCGAGAAGTAAACATACTTACCTCCCCGAAAAGATACTTAAGCGTAGCCCATGGTACGACACCTTTGGTTACAACACAACGGTCCAAATACGTATTCAAGATCTGCATGCACACGGTGAAGTCAGCCTCCGCAAAGTCATATGATATATTCCATCCGATTTTGTCGTATTTGCGTCGTTCCTTTTGAAAATGGAAAAGTTTAATTGTGCTTGCAGTTTATAGACAAAACCAGAATAAGGATATCTAAGATGTTATTCTTAAAGGATTTTTTTTTCCTTTCTTATGATAGAATAGGTATCATTTGACCTCCATTTCACACCTAAATAATGCCATTGTGTCCACCAGGATCCCCTAGCCCAATTCTCTCTTTGTGAACTCAGCAGTTCATTAGAATCCCCTAAGTTAAATCTATGTAAAGTTGCAATCACATGCCTATTCATTCTCGCTTTGAAAAGGCTCAAGTTATATAGCAAGTTATAGAGGAATCTCTCCTCCGAACTCCATAAACGTTCACCATATAAATGTGGAAGCGGAACGCTACGCGCGCATTTCTGAACCGTCCACAACATTGGGGTGGAACCCCAGCCTACGTCTAGTCCGATAAGGTGAAGGAGGAATCCAATCTTGTAATTCTTGCAATTTAACTGCCTCCGTGGCCGAACAGTTGCCATGCCGGACTGCCACGCGGAGGTCTCAGGTTCGATTCGCAGGCCGGGAGAAATATTTGTATGGCCTACATTTATTTTTCTCGTGAGTTTGGTGGTTGTCTATTAGTGTGTCCATGGCACCCGCGACACAGGGTTTCCCTAGTGCTATGCTATGATGAATGTGTGTCATTAATATTGCTTCCATCGTAGAATACCGATAAGCAGGCAACTTTACGGTGGTTGACATCACGATGGAGTTATTATTTACTAGTATATGAAAAAAGTGAAAAGGGATATACAAGTCAAAAAAACTTTACAAGGAGCCGCGAAAAACAGTTAAAGCTTAATATGACATTAGGCGTTAAATGTTTGTAACTCGAGCCACAGAACTAGTAAGAGCTCTCATGCCAAAAAAGTTTTGACGTTGGCTCCGCCCAAATTTGTGAATAAATGTATGCCTGAAGTTCGCGTGTCATGCGACAGGAGATGTTGAATTTTGCACATTAAAAGTACCAAATTCGTTTTAGCGGAATAACTCTAAAACTAAAGGAATTTAAAAAAATCCGTAGTGAGAGTTGTGGATCATGCATAAATATAATTAATTATCCAATTTTTGTCCTAATAATCTGTAGCATTTTGAGGATAAATCGAAAAAATGTGAAAATTAGAGGTCATTTCGTGATTTTTATCTACCGAGGAAACTTTGTTTTATGTTTCTGATTAATGTCTATGCTTGAATATATCGTGTAGTTGCTCATACAATATTTAATTTTTAACTTTAAAGTGGATATGTCCCTCTAAAATCAAATCGAAGATTAGGAATTTTTCCTCTGCTCCCTCTTAAACAACTAGGCAATACTTATCGAAACGTTTTAGTTAGACAGCATTTACTTTAATTTAGCATATATTTGAAACTATCTACCTGAACAACGGCATGGAAGAAAGCTAAGACGTAGATGAGTTTCTTGAACAATGGATGTGCACATTCCGAAAGTGCATGTGGTCGCATTTTGAAGTACGTGTTGCGAAGGTTCAGCTTGAGACCATTGGGCGGCTCTGTTACCACTGCGAGAAATATCAGACGTGGATATCGTATATTAAATAATCTCAGTACATAGTACTAAAAAAACCGCCCTCAAAACTTGGTGGAATCACATCTATTTGCCAAGTTTTATTAAGCCGGATTCATCCCCTAGTTTGCCACTCTTGGAATAGTTTCTTCAAATAGAAATGGTACCAGTACTGAGGTACCCTCTGTCCAACAAAAAAAGATAAAACCAACATTAGCGCACCTTCTTTATGACTTTCCAAGATTTGCTTCTAGGAGACACAATCACATAATAACCTGTCAAAACCTCAAAGTAAAACAAAAGATATTCGTAGTTTCCTCACTAAAGAATCATCATTAGACAGTTTGCACACCCTTCTTACTCACATCATTTCAAATCTTAAGAGCTTTAATGGTACATAATTAATATAACTGAATTAGCTCACTATTAACTACTTCCTTCGCCATTCTTTTATGTTATAATTTTATGTTAAATATATAAATACAATATATATTGATTTTTATTATGTCGCATTATTATTATTACTATAGATATGTTTAATATTATTATATCTATTGAATTAAATTCCTAACCTAACGTATATTAGCCGGTGTCCTATCATAATCACAAACAGCTACTCCTAACCACATAATACACGCCACCAAGCAGTTAATCACCATAACTAATCGCTCACACCTTGAACTAACATTACACAAATATCACATTGTTGGACACAAAGTATAAACCGATGGCGCGGAGTGTTCAACGAAATACACAAAACACAAGGTGGGGGGGTTTTAGTCCGTAGGCTACTGGGCATAATTCCCACTGGAATCGGGCATCAAGTTACGGGACGAACAAGTCGTGCGCCTGATGGTAAGCTACACGCCTGTCCATAACAGTTGCAGTGCCACTCAGAGCTTTAAATCGCAAAGATCTGAGGGGCACAGCCACTTCACCTGTCATCCTGAGACATAAGTTAACAAGTCTCATGTATCAACCATCTTTACACTTAAAATCCGAACATTACTGCTTAGCTCCAGAAATAGGTAAGATGGCAGTACTTCCCTAGACGGACTCTTTCACTGCTACTAAAATATTCATAAGATTTTACCTTTCAGCGATCGCTGCAATATACCGATAGGGAACGTCGGTGTAGGGTCTGTGGTGAGCCAAAGACGGTATTCCGGGTTGGGTTTGACCATCAACTCTAGTTGTTTTTCGAGTTCACGAAGGAATGACACCAACAAGTGACAGTTTTGGAAGATGAGCCACTGGCCATGGGATATTGCGCCTTCCAGCAGAGACAACGCAGCCTGCACAAGAGACAGTCAAGGCATGCAAAACTATGGACTAATAATCTTAGGAAAATAAAACCATTGTAGAATAAGACCAAGTAGGATAACTCCATACAAACTTAGCAGCGCACACATTTGCAAAATCTCGTAGTGCACTTTTGTTGCATAGCGCGAGTCGTTGCACGGGCCTGGAGTTTGTGATAGGTTTATCACAAACTCGAATTTTTTTCCGAAATAACGTTTATTCGAATTGTCATTACACTGAAAACCGAATTATAACCAAACCGTTGTTCATTCAGGATATATTGGATGTTTGTCGCAAAGACACGGTCAGGCTCGGTTAGGTTAGGTTAAGTTTAAAAGAAAAATACATTTTCTTCTCAAAATTACTTTCGAGGATATGAAAATTCGAGCAAACGTTATTTCTGGAAAATGTCATTTCGCACTACTGATAGGTAACCCACTTTAACACAACCTTTAATTATAGAATTGAAGCGTTCCCTCGGTATTAAAAAAATTACCTAAACCAACCTATGATACAACTAAAATAATAACGTGACTACCCTTCGAACGAAGTGTAGGTATATGCGTCGAATAGGCGAGAGTTGTCCTATTTGATCTTATTACACTATGACAAAACTGTCAACTGAACACCGAATGAAGAAAATGAACACGAAAAGGGCGGTTAGTCTTAAATGTTGGTAACTCCAATGAACACTAACTACATCAATGTAATTTTTGGACTTGTTCTGTTTTTATTTTGTTTTTTGTTTCTTTATTTTTTTTCACTAAATTTCGTTTTCTAGATTCTTTGTCGAATTTTGTTTTTGTTTTTTTATTTTCACAAAATTCGGAGAGCATAATATAAGTCAATACATATGGCTGTTTACAAAAATAACAGAAACTGATCAAAAACAAAAGTTGGCGTAGTGTTCATTGGAGGTATCGATGTCATATCTATAAAGTTAGCAATGCCGCTTCTACTAAGCGTGCACATATAAAAGTCAAGAAGTGATATACCAACTTACCCCTTCTTGTCCTTGCCCAAGAGACAAGTATTTAAATTTGCCTCCTCCAAACCCACACCGATCTGCTAATTTCATTAAATCCGCAGTCGGATCTGATCCTGGACTCAGGATAAACACTACAGGCGTGAACGGAGTTGTTTGCTCGAATATCATATCCAAACTTGGAACAAAATTTAAAAAATACATTACAGTTGATCACAAAATAGATAAGACGGAAATTGTTCTGTGAAAAAAATTAGGGTAAGATAAGGTTGACTGGAAGAAATTGCTACTTAGCAATAAGGCCGCCTATTGTACATTGGCTTACTCTGTGATACTTATATTACTGTTCTGTTTTGTCATTAACATTTTAATGTGCAATAAAGAATATTTCATTCATTTATATAACAAAAAACATTCCTAATTGATCCTTTGTCCCTAATATGATACCTGATAATCGGCGGTGTGATATATTCCTCGCCCATTGTTACGGTAATGTAGTCGTTCAGGGCACGGTACACACGATCCACGCGAAAGCAACGGAGCAGCATCAGTATTTCAAAGGGTTTGAGCAAATTGCGATAGTTGTCGGGGATTTCGTTCGACTCTGGAGTATCGCTGTCGAACCACTAGAAACGAAATAAAAAGAAATGTTTGTTACAATGCTAACGGTGCTAAGGGTGCGTAGTAAGTCTATTTTAGCGCCTAAAATTAAAATACAAGGTATGAATGTTGATCAACGGAATGAGTTCGTGCATCTAGGTAATTTGTTTACAAGAGATGGAAAGTTTGATGAAGATATTGAAAGAAGGGTACGGAAAGGGAAACGCAGTATATGGAACCATAAAGGGAGCTTATGGGAAGCAACATCTTATCCCAAAAAGCACACGTGTCCATACAGAATGCTTTGCTGGTTCCTACACAGACGTTTGATAGTGAGCTGGGTATGGCAGAAGAAGCATGAAAGTAGAATTATTGCAGTGGAGAGATCTTTGAGGAAAATTTATGGAATAAAGTTGAGTGATAGAGTGAAGAATACAATAATACGTGAAAGATGTGGCTTGAAAGAGGATGTAGTGACTAGAATAGAGAAAGGAATGTGGAGGTGGTTTGGGCATGTAGAGTGGATGGTTGTAAGAAGAATTACCAAACAGATTTACGATGCGAAATGTGGATGGAAGGGTTTTAAGAGACCGTCTCAGAAGGATTTGCATTGACCAGATCAGTGATGTCCTCAAAAAAGCAGTGACAAGAATAGAAAAGTTGTACGAAAAGGGTAGTTGATATATGTGAGGCTCGAGAGCTGTGTTGGTATATAGTGGCGTTTCGTGGTCTCTGCCTACCCCTCCTGCGGGACGTGGGGACGTAGGGTGTGAGGTTATGTCAGTATGTATGCATGTACAATATTTTTGCTATCGCTATCCAAAGATTTTTAGGCTTTAAGATGTTTATGGTAACACTTGCGTTTGACAATATGCGACAAGGTGCAGCAATGATGCAATTTTGGCGAGAAATGTCGACGCGTCCTTGTCCGTTATAGTTTAAATATAAAAAACGCTGTTTAAGTAGAAATGTCAAATCGTCAGCGGTCATAGCTCAACATTAAAAATTGAATGATTACCTCTTGCCAGGCGACCAAACTCTTGCCAATATGATCAGGTAGCGCCACGAACGGGTCCGGAAAATCGAAGCTTAACTTCATTATATCTTGCCACCCCTGAAATGATGTCAAGAAGATTACTCACATATATATAAATGACGTTTACAGATGTATGATGACCTACGTAATAAAACTCCTACGGATAACATTTTTTTTTTGTAGCAGCAGAGCTATCGATTTCGATATCGAACTTTCTGTTGCGATCAGCCATACCGTCGACGCTGCTGTACCTGTCGCGACTGCATTACTCCACCAAGTCTGAGGTACATCAGGCTAAAAGCCAAATACACCCTGAGGATCGAGCGGTTGGAATCCCGCCACAACGTCAATTTTAAGTTCGTTTGTGGTGGAAGTACTGTCGACCTCGTGAAGGGGAGTTTTGGCCGAATGCTGTAATCTACGTTTCCGCGTATCTACTAACCATATCGGCGTTTTCGCGACCGGTTACCTGGCACCAGATTGCGCCATACAAGTGCAATAGGTACGTTTAGATTAGTTGTTTAGTTTTTATATTATATCAATATAATAATATGTTCGTCCTTGTTATATTATTATATTATATGGGCCATGAGTCGCCTGACTCAAATAATTCTGAGTAGCACCACAACTGTTATGAGTAGGCGTGTCGCTTACCACGATGTTCATCCTGTCACAAGAACACTTCGATCAGAACCAATGCTATCAAACAGGACTTGTCTGCTTTAAACGATTCCCACTTAGTGATATATTTCTTACTGTCTGACCTAAGTTATGTACACAAGGTTTTCGTTAATTTATGGTTTTTACCTGCGCTGGTATCCAAGGAGCCGGGGAAGCGCGTGCTGACTTCTCGAGTGAGACGTTCCCTTTAATGAAGAAGTCCAACTGCGCCTGTGTAACCCTGTCTTCACTCTGCTCAAGTTTCACATCCATTTGGAAGGAGAATAGCAATTTGTGGCGCTCGAATATACCTATTACAACACAACTTAATGTTGAAACTTTAATACATGAGAAATTTGTATTGAATTGGTATTCAATTATTTTTTGTTAGATTAGTCCACTAGTTTGTTATAATTAATAATACAAAGATCGAACACTTAGAAAAAATTCCTAAGATCCGACAGGATTCGAACCGACGTCTTCCAGCAAACCGGGCCAGACGCTATGCCAACTAAGCCACGGAACGAACCATCAGACCTCACGAATTCTTCTATGTGCTTGTTGTCGGATCTTTGTATTAGGTTTTCAACGACTTTTTAGCCGTAGTGCCATATATGAGAAATTTATGAAAATATTTAATCACCCAGTTAGGCAACTTTACAGCTACTAGCCTTGGCTAGCGATGTCGCTATTAACTGTAATTAAATTTATTTGCTAGAAGCACAAATTTGCTACAAAAAGTCGGTTACAATCCGGACCGGAGGATTTTTTTTAAGCGTTCGATCTTTGTATTAATTACTTTTGTATTATTATTTACTTCTTTGTATTATTTCTTTGTATTTTTATCAACAGTAGAGTTCCTTGTGAAAGAGTTCGTCCGGGGAAGTACTGCTACCTTACCTGTTTCTGCAGCCAAGCAGTAATGTTCCGGTTTAGAAGGGTAAGGGTGTTGGTGAAATTACAGGCACATGAGACTTGTCAACTTATGTCTCAGGGTGACGGGCGCAGTGACAGTCCCCTATCTTTGCGATTTAGAGCTCTGAGTGGCACTGCTATAATAATAATTATAACAAACCATATAATAACTACCAAAGTATAATAAGAGCAAGTAGGACAACTCCTGCTTGTTCGGCGCGTAATGCCTACAATTCTCTCGGAGCGTAGGGTTGTTACATTAATATTTTAGTTGTACTGTAGGTAATAAACATAATTTGAAAAAAATATGTTTATGACCTGTAAGTTCATCACAGTATTATCGTACTGTATTGAAATAATATTTGTTAAATGCAGTAGGTGTTTACGTATCGTTATTTTTATTCCAGAACCGGTTTGGTATCTTGTTTATGGAGTATGATCATGAAATAATACTTAATTTGAGGCACTCTTGTTCAAACTAGGTACCACAAACAGAACAATAAACACGTCTACTCTTTGATGTCATTTTTTAAACCTCAAGGGACGATCCGCACTATGCAACGCGAGTGCACCGCGAGATTATACGAATGTGTGCGTCCGTACAAGGCGCGTGACATCCCTCCGTCCTTTTATGAACCCCTGCTAGGATCCCCTGGGGGATTTACGGATGTGCACACAGGCAGGCCGCGCTGGTATCCAGCTACCATACTTGTCTTATTCTTTTCTTTACTGTAGTACCATCAGACATTTCCATTGATGGTAAAGAGGCAACTTTTTTATGCCGTCATTCCATTACGTGATAGTTCCATAGCAAATGTTGTCTTTTTTCGTAGTACCTTCAATTTGGAATTAAATTCCTTTCGGACTATTAGTTCCACTCTTGGTTCCAGTTATCCAACTGCATATAGGGACCAGAAACAAGAATTAAATTATTTTTTTAAATTTATTTAACAAATGGAATTATAATATTTTTTTGAAATAAATCAGTTGAGTCAAGTCAAATAGAATAAAATAAAATAAAAAAGTTTTAAACTTCTCTTTAAACTAATACTTACTTTAGCTGTTAAATTACACTTACATACGTAGAAAATCATACTACGAAAATTTTCACGAGTTAAATCCATGGTGATGTAGACAACCAATTTCAAAACTGACGCCACAATGTAAAAACAAGTGACAGTCAGATGAAAAAAACTGTATTCTACAGCCAGAGTTCCATTTTAAAATGTTGTAATTACTTTTTAAATATTGTTTATGTAAGTGGCCAGTTCCGGAAACTTATAGTGCGCCTCACGTACAAAGATCGAACACTTTCCAACCGACGTCTCCTAGCAAACCGTGCCAGACGCTATGCCAACTAAGCCACGGAACGACGGAACGAACCTTTGGACCAGTTATACCATTTATTATACCATTAATGGTATAAATGGTACTAACTTGTCCCATTTATAGGTACATGTAATGGTATAAGGTGGTACTAGTTGATCCCAGTTGTACCATTGGATAATAAACAATGGTATAAATGGTACTTACTTGTCCTACTTACACCATTAAAAGTACAAATGGGACAGATTAGAACATACTACTACCCAACAATGCGCTGGTATACCCATGTAAGGTTTCTTATAAATATTGAACTACCTTTGCACCATTTTTTCAATAAATATTAGACAAATTTTATTATACGTAGAATTTAAAACAGGATGTAAATATTTTAAAGCAGTCGTGATAAACTAAAACATTCTCCCTTGAAAAATTAAATTACTTTCGTCCTTTTTACAAATCACCGATGATATGTAGGTGAACCTAAACATTATTTTAATGCCCGGTGAACTAGAATTATTGATAGGTAATGATGAAAATTATGATGAAGGGAGGACTCCTAGTGAACATATTTTAATGAGTTGTAGTTAATGTCGAGAGACGGATCACAAAATTGGACTTAAGATCCCCAAAACGCGATGCTGATTTCGACTTCCAACTAATAACAACGCATTGTTATCATATACCAACGTACTATATCAAGACTTATTTAAAACCAAAATGTAATTTGAAAACAGGACGTAGATAATTTTAAAATCTACACATGATTTTCTGAATTTTTTTTCTAAATGTAGCTTTCACCCTTTCTACGAAACACCGACGATATAAGTTCTTCAGTTTATTTCGGTGTATCATAGATAACTTTAATTTGTTATTGTTACAAATATACATTATTTGTAATAAAAACATGTTATTATGTTACTTCAACGACTTACCAGTACACCCATAGTCGTAAACATTCTTGGTAAGCATATCGATAATGTTGCGCAGGCGTTTCACTAAAATCACGTTGGGCATTGCTTTTCGCAGCGAGAACGAGAACACCTGTGTATAAACACATTTCATTACTTATCTGTGTATAACGGTCATTACCACAAAGTTTCATAGACTCCTTTGCTTACGTCACTTTGTCATATCGTTACGTTATCATCATATACAAAACATGACTAGTGCCGTAACTTATACTTTACATGTAAATTGAACAATCTGTATTAAAGATTTACCGCGTTTAATTCTACAGCGAAGATTTTTTCCTGACTTTGAAACTCACATCGAGATAAGAAGTCAAGGAGTACTGATACATGGTGTTGACGTTAGCCATGTCGGAAAGCACGAAGAAGAGAATGGACCCACGCTTAGCCACCGGTCGGTACCCGTCACGCAGCTTCTCTATATCTATAGCCGTCGCTTCTGCCAGTTCCAATTTCTCCATAACCTGAAATCAAATTTTAATATTTTGGGACTGGTATAGCATATAGCTGATGTAGTTATGCTTTACGATAATCTACAGGTAGTTTTCGATCCGTTTTACTGTCGTGCTCTTTTTAGAAGTAACCATCAGCCAAATACATTGATAGCACTAGTAAAAACCGAGACAGAATCAGACAGAGTACAGGCTTACGTTTATCATATTCACATCTGCATATAGGATATAGACTCTATTCCTTATGCAAAAATTAACCTAGCCTAGCCAAGGCTTAAGAAACCAAAATGAAATGTTACCTCAGCAGCTTTCGATTTAGTGTTCTCAAGAGTATCGACCAGTTCGACATTGTCCAGCATGTTTCCAGTTGAAGTAGCCAATTCTCTGAGTAGAGAATCTTCCAATCCTTGCAGCAGACTCTTGTTGGTACTCGTTTCGATTATGAGAAACTCTCTTTGTTCCTCCAAATCCGCACGTTCTGCTCTCACCACCACGCTTAACAATTGGTCCTCTAAACCCTGTTATACATTACACACTTTCCAAACACAGGTAATTTCATTTTAATGAAACCTTTTATTACGTAATGTAAGCAAGGTTTTTCAGGTGCTGTAAGTTTTGTGGATAATTTGTGGCATTTTCTGCACTTAATTGTCGAATCGGATGGGTTTTCAGAGGGCGCGGGTCGGGCCCGCGGCAAACGCGGGCCGGGAGCGGGCGCGGCGCGGGTGTTGTAATATATTGAGTTCTATGCAACCGTCCACAAAGCTTCCACAGGGCTTCAGCGGGCTTGGACGTTGTATTTTTTTACAACTATGGAGTGGGTTTTAATTAAGTTTCAAAATGAATTCGACTGAAAAGCTTATATCATTGGTGCGATCATACCCCAGTTTATTTAATACAAGTGGTAGAACACGGAAGTAAATATTATTTGGTCTGTGTGATAGAAATTATAAAAATTGTTTTAAAAAGGAAATGATTTGGGAAAAGGTTTTCATGGAGACAAAGCAAAGTCGTGAGGCTTGTTCATCCCGTCCTTTGGTATCGTAAAAAAAAGAAAACCTGGATAGCAAACAGCAGTATGTGTCTGTCCAAAGCGAAGTACTAGAAATGTGGAACTTTCGCAGGGTTAGCGCTAAAAGAAGAAGTTCTTCTTCATCACTATCCTATAGTGACATGGTGCTTTGTTGACTGTGTTGAAAACTTAGAGGATGGAAAAAAGGTTGAAAATGAAGTGTGGCGTGACGCCTTTGGTGTCACACCGGCCGCCTTCGCGGCGGGACAGCGGCGATCTCGCTTCCCGCAGGTCCGCCCGTCTGTACTCGTCTGTGTGACATGACTTTAAGTGTAGGCCCTACCGCGAGGGAAGCTAAGATAGCTCATGTAGATGCATGCAATCAACTATGTGCCCTTAGCTCGGTTAGCTTTCTTCGCGGTGTGAACAGATGTATGAAAACATACCGCGGCTACGTAAGATAAAGCTAACTTAGCTAAGCTTCGCTCACGGTGTGGCTTGCTCTTTATACTTAACACTGATTTTAACAAACAGCTTATAATTTCTGACTATTTATGGACGAACTTGTTTTGACTTTTATTCCGTGTCGATCTTTAATGGGTTCTATGAAATCTATGTCACTACTCTACTAGCATGTAAGTAGACATGGAAAACGAACCTGGACTGTGACAGTATAGTTAATAACGACTGCCTTAGCATAAGCTGCAGGGTTAAACTGCGGATTGGCCAACTTAGTGGTGAGATACATGCGGAAATTTGGATCATAGTCTACTTCTGAACTGCCCAGCATTACGAACGTTCGGCCACTTTCAACTGGAAGGAAAAGCAAATTACTTAACACTTCAAAGGATCAAATTATAAGTGAGTAACCAACAGGATACTACTATTGCTGCAACGCAATTTGTATATATTAGTTCAAAAATGTTGGTATGAGTTTTCAAGGCCGTGAACACAAAATATTTCTGATACCTTTTATATTCTTCTCCAAAACATTATCCACTACGGGGTCAATATATTCGTTGACATCTTGGAACAGCACAGGCATACCATACTTGATAGCCATCTCCAATTGCCTTAAGAACTGCGCGTCATTAAACGATAGAACCTTAGCGGAAATAATCACAAAAATATTATTACTTATTTATCACCCAACAGAAGCAAACTATAAGACGTTTCATATGAGTTTTCCATTTTTGGATACATTTTATGCTGACATTATACATTTTACTGGCTGTGGTTAACCCCAAAAGAAGAAGAATGTTTTTTATAAACATTATTTCCTCGGTCCTACCTTTAGATTGTTCTTAGCCTCCCTCTTTTTGATCCAGTTGAGCGCTTGTGTCTGAGGGTCGATGCAAAGCGGGAATCGCGATGCCCGCGTTGTTAGAATACCGTTCTGTACTGATAACTCGTCTGGTGGTAACCCTTGGGAATTCCATCTGAAAATGAATTTGACAACAGTCATGAGACACTCAACGCCAAAGACAACGTAACGCACGTAACTGATAGTGCGCTGAAAAGTGGGTTGAAGCGCAACCATTGACTGATGAGCAGGTCAACTACCCTGATTATTACTACTGTACTACTGTTTTTTTTTTTCAAGCAAACCAACGTTTCGGGTCCTTTGCAGATACCATGGTCACGACCATGCGACCTACATAGTATTGTCAAGCGAACAGATAAAGCTGGACATGGTTAGGCTTTTTGGACGCGCGTCCGATCAGATTAAGTAATCTTAGTTATTTAATAAAATAAAATAAATTAATCTATATTATTTCGATGGATAGCCATTGCAATAATAGACAATTACTAATAAAGAAGACTTTTATTGTTTGACTTTTACAATTTATGACGTTTTTTGATAATTGATTTAAAAAGTCTGGTTTTTAAATGTGAAAAAAATTCATACTAAAATTAGTGGACACCCGTCCACTAAACTGTTTCCAACACCCAAACTACATTTTACAAATGTAAAACCCAAATGTCCGACTAAACTGACTGGTCTGTCCGGCAAATCAGTTTTGGGTCCTGGCAACTAATGGTCCCAAAACATTGGTTTGTTGGAAAATACAAATATACGCGATTTAATTCCAAAAAGCAGTAAACAATCGGGAAATGTTAAGAACTTGACAAAAATATATATATTAAGAATGAAGTTATCTGTCAGGATCTCACCCACTAATTTCTACTTCGTTCGTCAAATTCTTTTGAACAGTATAAGGTGTTGTAAGTGGTATGCCACGTTCCAAAAGATCGCTCATCCAATCTTCATAGATCATCATTTCTCTAAACGAAAAGGAGAACGGTCCTGTGTAGCTTAGGAAAGATGCAGAAAGTAAGCAATTCCCGATTAGACGTCCTCGTTCTTCGTATAATGCTTTCAAGTCACGTGTCCATCGGATCTGCTCACTTGCCAAACCAGACATTAATTTGTCTGCAGCCACCAAACGGCGCATCATAATATCAGTTTCCTCCTGTAATTCCTGCCTTCTCATCATAGCATTATCATATTTGGCATTCAATTTGTCCAACGTATTTTGCAAACGATTAATCTCGCGATTGAGTGAGTCCAAGTAGTTTATGGCTTCGGTGAACTGCCTCTCGAGATCAGCTACTTTGTCTATTTTGGGTTTCACTTCCTTGAATACAGCACAATATCCTAATACGGCTGTTACGAATTTGAGCAGACCATATCTGAAAACATTTCATATCACACCTTAAACAATTTACATTTTAATGCAGAAATGACATAGACATTAGACCTACTAATGCAGAAATCACATAGACAATTCACATTGTAATGCAGAAGTCACATAGTATTAAACATTTTAATGCTGAAATCACATAAACAATTCACATTTTAATGCCTTGACGCTGTTGTATGACTTCGTACTGGTCGCGATCGAGACGATGGAGCCGTGGGGTTTGGAGCTCGGGATTTATTTAACGAGTTTGTTTAGAGAAAGGGGCTGCGATCACCGCTTTGGGTCGTGGTTAGTTCAACAGGTATCCAATGGCGACCAACGAGCAATGCTACCACTATAATGGGAACTTTTATGCCGGGCACTACACAGGGCAGGATTTTTTAAATTAGAAATATTTGTGCAAACTCTAGTAAATCCCAGTTTCTGGATTTTAGTAACTATTGACGAAGCCTAGTGCAGATCTTTAGTTACAAATTTAACTTTTCACATTAATTTCAGAAGTTTCTGTCCAATTTGTTACAAACCAGAACAGCTGACTGTCCAAAATATGGCAAATTCAGAAAAGAGAACAGGTTTCAAAATAACTTAGAATTCACTGTGAATGTCAGTTTGACTTATTAATAAAGTATGCTAACTATAATTATTAAAAACTGCACATAAACCGTAGATCATTTACAATTCTATGAAATCTGTTGGTACTGATACGCGATAACACACCCCAAATAAGATACACAGCACGCCACAAATATATTTTGACTCCACATGCAACACATCAATTTGAAATTTATCCGAAGAAACAATTCCAAATTTTTATACTTTATCGTAACGAAGTTGTTTACTATAATGAGTACGTTTACCAGCTGAAGTGTGGTTTCAATTTTCAGTAAACTAAAAAAATATAATTTTTAGTAGAGCAGCTAAAATTATATAATTGTTGAATGTGATATCGCATACCCGGCTTTACTTATTTGTTGCATAGTGTCAAGTTTCTTGCTCTTCTTCATGTGAGCTTTGACAGCCTTAACTTGTTGCTGCGTTATAAGATCGCAGTTCATCTCCTGAAGATTTCGTAAGAAGTTGGGATCTGCCATCATGCCCTTTGCGCCCTTCCAGCTTACGTCTTTTATGCCACGGATGATCACAACGCATTCGCAGACAACCTGTCACAATGTAAGAGTATGATCATATTACATAATTTTTAAACATGGGTTAAAATGGGTACAAAGAGATAAAGAAAAGAGTTATTAAATCATGCGCCCATTATGAATTTTCTATCAATGATCTTCAATATTTCCCCTTCAATTTCCCTTCAAAATTTATAGTCTCTTGGGGTTTTTGCATGATTTATATTAAATTTCTTATACCTTTTTTTGCAGTTTATGGAATTGCATTAGTTAATTCCGCCTTCCCCTTTCTACCATCGGGGGACTAGACGTAGGTTGGAGTTCCATCCCTAAGTTGTGGACATTCTCTGGATTCGCATTAAACGTTTCGCTTCCCCATTTATACGGCGAGCGCCTAGGGATTGTAATTCCCAGTATACAATATTTAAAAGCGCAGTTACAGCGCCACTGTCGTGACACGCGCGTGCCACTTTCGCAGCAGCAGTAGAGCTCCTAATGACAGACTTCTTCCTGGAAAGTAACCTTACCTATTTCTGCCGCCAAGCATTAATGTGAGCATTACTGGGTTCCAGTTTGGAAGGGTAAGAGTGCTGGTAAAATTACAAGCACATTATGGGATTTGTCAACTTTAGTCTCAGGGTGACAGGCGCAGTGGCAGTGCCCATACGATCTTTGCGACTTAAAACTCTGAATGGCACAGCAACTGTTATGGATATGCGTGTCGCTTACCACCAGACGCACAATTTGTTCTACCCGTGTCTTTGTGTTGTAAAAAAATTATTACTGATTACTGAAGGTCTAAAATCGCGCAGCTGCTGCGCCACAGTCCCACCACTACAGTACTTCTACAAACTCTAAACTAATCCAAGACCGAGACATTATTACCCTTCGACGCCTTACCTGCACTGCTTCGGGCGGCGTAGCAAAAGACCGAATCTCAGTAATATCGTTCTTATCTAAATCGGCCAAGGCGAGTCTGGCCGCTTCTAACGCAGGTAAAGCTTCTGACAACGCTTGCTCAGCTTCGCCTTTTTCTTCTTCGATTACCACCTTTTGTTCGGTAATCTCTACTTGTTTCACTGCTGCCACTTGCTGTTTTGTTACCGCTGTGTCAGTAGCTGAAAAGTAACAACATCGTTTTCAGTCTGGAGAAAGCAACTTGCGGTTCTACCGAACGGGATACTTCTGTTCCAACTGATCTTGGGCTTTTACCTTACAGCATCCAATAGTTAAGGTGTGATAATAAAAAGGAATACATTCAGGAGACGGGTAACAGCGTCTCCCGAGTTTTTATCGTTGCCAAACTATTATAAATGATAAATCTAATAATTACTAGACATGCAAAATTTGTATTCGGATGCATTCTGAAGTCCGATAATCCCACTGTCGGGACGGTTAAGTATATAAGAAAAGTGTAGATGAGAGAGTTAGAAGGGGTCCACCTCAGCGAATGTACCTCCTTAGACTGAGGACGTTTTAAATAAAAGCCAGTTTAGGAGTACCCTAATTAAGTTCATAACAATTCCTATATAATTTTAAGAAATTGGTTAGTTGGGAGGTCAATGCTCTGAAATGAGATTTAAATTTTTGCACTGTTGATACTTGGCTCTGTTGACTAATTAGTTTACCGACCACGGCCTGTGGAATTGCTGGGCAGCCTTGAGGATGCTTCCACAACCTTTGGAATGCTTCGGCAGGACGTCGAGTGTGTACGGGTATGCGGGGCAGAGATCAGAGGAGTGCTGCTTGAGGACGTCACGTAGTAACTAGGGATACCGCGGCATGCTTAAGGTCAGTGTGTGAAGCCATCCTGTCAGTGGGCGCCGGGCCTAAGAAAGAACTTGTACTGTAAGCGCAGAATCACACATACCTTTAGTGATCTCTTTCAAGAGTTCTTCACATTCTGCCGTCTGTTCAGCTACAATGACTTTCTGTACGGCCAGCTTTTCGTTAAGGTCCGCCAGTTGCACATTGGCCTCTTCAATTTTATCCAATCCACTTTGGAGACGCTCGCACTGAGTTGTAAGTAGAAAATGATAAACCAAAATTAGGCGTACAGATCACAGATGAACGACTACCACTACATAGAATTTGATCCATAGT